GGATCGGCTGGACAGCGCACGTGCCAAATGAAACAACAGAGATATTTTCTGAAGTGGGGTGGGACAATGTAGTGGAGTTTATGGAATCAGCACATGTGGTTCTCTCTTCCCTCTTGCTGTCATACTGAAATGACTTTCCATAGTTTTTATTCGGTTGAAGGGGGTAGAGTGACCCATTGACGATTTGCTGAGAGGATACGGATGAAAAATGCGGTTGAAGCGAGTTGGTGAACGATTGTTCCATAGCACCGACGGAGTTGTCATATTTATTCTCTGTCATATGGGTCATTCTCTCTGGGTAGGGGATTTTATGTTCAATACCGTCAGACGAAGAGCTGTAATTTGTCAGGATTAGGTTGTTCACTGCATCTGTGGCGGATATATGTGTTCCGTGAAGGCAACAGGGACAACTATTCAAGTTCGCTTCTGGCGTTTCCGAGTCGAACGAGAGCAAGGTTGGGGTGCAACTTTGGGAGTTGTACGCAGTTGAACGGGACACAAAATCGCCACCCAACATGTTGGTCATTTGAAGGGACGTCATATCCTTNCTTGTTCCTAAATGGAATAGAAAAGGAAGCAGAAAAGTAAACGGCAGCCAGTATTTATTGGAACTTGATAGACATTTATCAAAATATTTCGCATAAATTTTATTGATTTCATTACTATTTACCAAGAGGGCATTACAAGTTTAACAAATACCATTTCCAACAGACCCTTCAAATTTGACGAAACAGCACTTCCGTTGTCCTCGACAACTTTCCGCTTGCAATCGAAATACTGTACGAATACCTTATCCCTAATTCTGACCATTTTGATGTAATTGAGCGGCAAAGAGATACTAATTTGAAAACGGAATTTAGACGACCTGAACTTCCAGTGACGTCTCATATTCAAAATATGCCTATTTTATGTCGGTTGCTTTCCACATTATCAGGATTTCAGTTACTCCGGAATTGCGGTCGAGGTGATCTGCTTGAATGATTTCACAGGCGGATAAAAAACACTAAGTCTTGTTTACAGGTTTTCACCAAACATGGCGAATTTGTCGAAAAAGTCGTAGGGTTCCCGAACGAGTAGATGACGAGCTTGAACCCGGCTCTACGGGATACTTATGATCAGATTTATTAGATATATGGCTTCGAGTACTTTGCACATTCCAACGTTTATGAATATGATTTATAATCTGGCACACCTCACCTGAATTTACGCGTTAGTCAGTGGCTACCAAATGAACTGGGCTCGGAACAGACTTGACATAAACAGCGCGAGTGCTATTATTTTCGGTAGATGGGTAGCTATCGTAAGACCGACGTAGGATACTTCAGCATCACGAGTTAATAAACGCTGCAACAATGTTCATCGGCAGTTTATATTTATTCCGCATGTTCATTGTTGATGAGCTTTTGAACAGCCAGCGTAGGTGAGTGGCGATGGATGTGGCTTTTATTGCATCTTTGAGGTATCCTATCCTTTTATGCAACCTTGGAAGGAATACCAATGAGAAATTCCTTCCAGACCTCTCTGTGTATATCGCTTGGGTTCGTTCCATCGTGTTGCGGTGAATCCAAAGATCTGGGTATCTGCCTTTTCAGAGCACTTCTGATATAAATTTGAGTTTATCTTACAGTACTTGTTGTAAACAAATTCTTCGAGCTGTCGATAGGGGAAACTTAATCAGATTTCTCTTCATTTTCTTCGGCACAAATCTGTGTTGGAACAGTGAAATAATCATGAAAAATTTTAACGTCTACTTCCCCAGTGAAGGACACTATCTGCATGTTAAAAATTCCATTTGAAAAGTGTTTTCAACCTACTCTGTAGAGGAATTTGTCCAGGGGTTCTGAATGCCAACTGTTTTGTGATCAATGAGATTGACGTTGTTGCCTGTGGAGAAAATAAACAGTGTTGTTAGCTACTGATAGTGATTGAGTATCATAAATGCAACTGGGAAAAAGCTGTGGATTTCAATGAAGAACTCAGATAATTCACTCGAAAAATCCAATAACTCGATATGTGACGTAAGAAGATTAAGGAGAAATTAGCTTGTGCTGAAAGAGTAAAACGATCACAATATATGGGCTCTGGTATCTGTAAATTCTTTTGGACAATATTAGAACAAGTTCAAACTGAAACTGTTACTGGATTATTTCGAAGGCGAGTTATCTGAAGAAATCAAAGCCAATTGCAAAAAAACGCACCCTTGGAAACAACCAGAATCCGAGATATAGTCAACAAAACTCGGAATACTGTAACTATTGACTCTCTAGTGTAACATAGAAGAGATCTCTCGCATTTGACTCACAAAAAGAGATCGCTGAGGGGACGGAACTCAGCTATTTAGTTTGGATATAATAGGTTCTGGACGAGACTAATAGAGTGACAGAATGCTGCATCCCATTCCTGGGCTCACGTAGTTCACATTTGGTGTGACATTAAACCTAATGTAGAATCAAATTAATTATAATGAATGTTGTTTGAATTTGAGAGAAATTACTCATGAGAGATATTCGTTTTGATTGAAGCTTTTGAGGCCAGCTTCACCCCAGTGCAGACAGTTATTTCTGAGTAAACTTCAATAATACTTCACACTTTGATGCAGGTAGATGTGCTGTTGTTTCCACCTTACGAGGCTATTTCTTCAATACCCATGGAGAATCAGAAACTTACATGATATGCAAGTCCGATAACTCGCACATATAAAGTCAAAAAAGGAAGACAANNTCCTTCCATGACTTTTATTTAAATGTTAGTACTCAATAAATTTGTGAAACTATAGCAGATTAGTAACGTACTTCACGAAATATTTGCCATGTAACTCACCACTGATAAAAACTTCCACATCACGAACAGAGCCGTGCTCTTTTGAGTCAACGCAGTCCGCATCTGGCGGAAGACCGGCTCCAACAGCTGCGTTTTGGTTGGTAGGTTGTNTAGGTTGTTGTGCCGACATGAATTCAGCCGAAGGATGCGGCAGCCAATCTCTTCCGGATTCATTAGAGGCGATTCCAGTTGTATTAGACCACTGGGATGTTGGGATGAATCGGTTGGAAAATGCTCCGTCAAGCATACCAAGCAGCGAATGTGAACTGGGCTGTTGTCCTAAACTCTCTCGGAACACAGACATAATTGGTGAAGTGAAATGGCTAGCGTACGGGTGATCTGTGGAAGAAAATTGCATTCTCGGTTTTACTGAGCTATCGGTCGTCGGGGTCATCAGTTGTTGTGTCAAGTTAGGAGCATTTCCCCAATTGGTGTTGAATGGAACTGTACTCCTTCCAGTTCTGTTCGTCGTTTGTAGGGTGAACGGCGAACCCGCAGTGGATAACAGTTTTCCAATAGACGCAGGGGAAGTTGCGCTGGTTCGGTTTCGTCTTCGGATCTGTGTGGCATAATTATCTCTAGCAGACCAACCGGGATAGAGGCGTTGATGAAGTTCCTTCTCTTTCTTCGCCAGGTCATAGTATTTAGCTTGATCTTCACGAGATAATGCGTGCCACTTACGACCGAGAATCTGGTTGATAGCTGCGGATTCTTTTAGTGTGCATTCAGCAATCACTTGTGCACGCATCTCCTTCATGAACAGCATGAAAGCGTTTAAAGGTTTTTTGATGTGCCCTATATGTTTGGCTCGCCACCGCGGTTCCGTCGGCTTGTGATCTGAAACTAGTTGATTACTCTTCTGTGAGCAGTGTTGTTCGCCGGATTTTAGCGTGACTGAATTGATGAAACTATTTCTAGTGTTCATTTGTGGACTAGGGATACAAGCAACGTGTGCTGATGGTGCATTCGAAATTCTTTCAGCGGACACATCGTTTGAGCTTGGCCCCGAAAAAGTTGTTTTTGTGTAGAGGGGCTCACAAAATGAATGGTCCGGATTGATTGGGTTGCCGCATTCTGTCTGGTCGATATCCCTTGTCATTGGGCTATAGTGGAAAAATGGCATAAGGAATAATCACGGACTATATTTGCTGAGATGTACTCTCACTCCTGATTTTGAACAAGTTTATCTTGGGAATATGTTGTTTATTATCATAAAGAGGCACTAGCTGGGTAAAAAGTTGCATGTTAATCACCGAAAATTCAGTGTTCATCGAGATTGATAGAAATGCACAACAACAGAGACTTTGCTAGATCAATCTTCGAACTACTTGAATTTAAGTTCCATACATTATTATTACGCCATCTGACGCTTTTGTTTCAAAACTTCCTTCAAGCAAAAATTCCGTTGTTTTGGTTCTTTTGCATGGACTACCACTACTTGTACAAATATGAACGCCTAGAACTACATGTTCTCTGGCGATACACATTTCTACTGAAGAAAATAAAACAAACTACTGAATTAATTTCATAAAAATGCTTTTTTAAATTCTTTGGTAACAAACTACTCGTTGGTCTCCACTACTTTGTCTCACTCTCGATTGTGAAGCAGTAGGCAAATTGCAAAACGGTTACTGAATTCACACACAGTCTGTGCTTGACGTTGATTTCTTTTTATCCCATAAATTGAAGAGCTCTAGAGTGATAGGATATCATAATATCATCCATCCTTAGAAAATTCCTAACTGAAGAGCTGTATTCCATACACAGATCATCATCTTTTCGTTCACTATCCAGAATCAGATTTCGACGGTCGATGTTCCTGCCTATGTTGCTTTTATTGACAAACTGATTCTGTGTAAGTGCTATAGCTGAACGCTTTGATTTTGTTTTCATAAATTAAAATTTTAAATTAAATGAGGACTTTAAAATGCTGCAGCCTCAGCTTTTTTTCCCACGACCGCCTGAAGAATGAATTCCTAATCCGAATAAAATATTAGGCGATGGATATTGGACCAGTCTATTGACGAGTTAATTCTACCGATAAATTAAGGCGAGTTAAATCAGCTGAAAAAGGATTTGCTCAACAGCTGAGGAAATTAAAGATGCAATGGACGACCTGGAACCCAGTTTATTTAATGGGACAAATCGCGCTTTTCATGGATGATTTATATCAAGAACCAGAAGCTTTGACATCGTACTCAGGGAATTCGGTGCGTGATTACATATGATTCTTTGTATTTTGAGTCCGAACCTCGACAGTATTTTAGATGCTAATTTTCAATAAAAATCCATCAAACATATGATGGAAAAGTGAAAATCTCTCATAATATACCTTGCGTACTTTCACTAGGTTTTGATTATTTGACCGCATTTAGATTTTTCCGGGTTGAAATCAACACTTTTAAATTGAGTCAAGTTCCGTTCGTACTGACCGATTCTAATCAAGTCTTTCTGCAGTCCACCGTTTAACCTAGAAAAACTACACAGTCTAAAAGCATATTGCCAAACAGCTAGCGGCCCCTCTGTAGCAAAAAATGTCCAATACCTACATATGAACCAGCTTCTGTGAACACTTTGAATGAATTTGTGTGTGCTTATCACAACGATCAGGAACCAAACCATAAAGATATGTTGAGAAGTATTCAACCTTCTCGGAAGGAAATTTTCAAATCAACTAGCTCAGTCCAAGTATTCAAAAGAAGTCATTGGAATCACCTGACAAGTATTACCGGTAGATTTGATTTGATCGTGTTGTGAATTTTTTCGTAACTATTGTCCTGAAAACGGGGAACGGCTATTGGCTCTTTGTTCCGACCACCGTCTATTCCTCTCCAGTACGAACTTCAGACGCTGCAACTGCCGGTACGCCACTTGGCCTCCGCCCTCCTCGAGTCAGAGGCGGACGCAGATCGATTACATCGCGATAAG